GGGGCCCCCCCCCCCCCCCACCGAGATTTTGTGCAACTACTTCTATTCTAGCTTTGCCTTGTGGCCCAGAGATATTTCTATTGGATTTGCGCCTGGAAAGCTTAAGTTTGACTTCAGCGGGGAGGACAGAAGTACAGTGGGAGTGGGGTGCACCTGGGAGGGTGCCCTCAAAGGTGCCCCCTCTGACTTGCTGACTCACCACCTCCCAAACCCAGGGCAGGGGCTCATTCTGTTGAATGAAAGGTTCTGGGAATCTGCTGGATCTCATGTGAATGGTGGTTGATCCCAGCCCTTGGACTTCAAAGCCGGAAGAGGACCTGAGAGGTTGTCTGAAAGAAACCCAGGCACACCCTCGCTGGTTTGGCTCAGTGGATAGAGCGCCAGCCTGCGGACCAAAGGGTCCCGGGTTCGATTCCTTCTGGTCCTCCCCGGCCCAGGCCCTGGTCAGGGCGTGTGCAGGAGGCAACCAATCAATGTGTCTCTCTCATATCGATGTTTCTCTCTGTCTTTCCCTCTCTCTTCCACTCTCTCTAAAAGATCCATGGAAAAATATCCTCGGGTGAGGCTTAACAAAAGCAAATAAATAAATAAAAATTAAAGCAATAAAAGAAACCCAGGCATGAGGCCCCACAGTAAGTGGCAGGGTGAGCCCTTGACCCTGAGCTTTCAAAGTTCATGTCCCCTGCTCTATTCCTGCTGGGGAGCGTTCCATAGATCATGGCTCTGAGAACATGAGACCACGGGCGTGTGCTCCGCGCATGAGACGGGCAAAGGAGCCTCGTTTTCCCGCTGTGTCACACATACTGTCCTAGGCCGTGGTGGGCAAACTGCGGCTCGCGAGCCACATGCGGCTTTTTGGCCCCTTGAGTGTGGCTCTTCCACAAAATACCACGCGCGGGCGCCCACGTACAGTGCAATTGAAACCGTGGCCCATGCGCAGAAGTCGGTTTTCGGCCTGGGCGAGTCTATTTTGAAGAAGTACTGTTGATATTTGGCTCTGTTGACTAATGAGTTTGCCGACCACTGTCCTAGAGGGTTTGGCCGGCCCGTGTGACTGCTAGGGGAACTGGGTGCTTCTTGCTGTTTTCACATGGACTTCTTCACAGTCCACCAGGTCAGCAGGCTGTTCCCAAGCCACACTTAGCACTTTATTTTTAAAAATATATATATATATATTTTTTTAAAATATATTTTATTGATTTTAGAGAAACATCGATCAGCTGCCTCCTGCACATCTCCTACTGGGGATGTGCCCGCAACCCAGGTACATGCCCTTGACCGGAATCGAACCTGGGACCTTTCAGTCCGCAGGCCGACGCTCTATCCTCTGAGCCAAACCGGTTTCGGCTAAAAATATATTTTTATGGATTTCAGAGAGGAAGGGAGAGGGCGAGATAGAAACATCAGTGATGAGAGAGAATCATGGATCGGCTGCCTCCTGCACGCCCCCTACTGGGGACCGAGCCCGCAACCCGGGCATGTGCCCTTGACCGGAATCAAACCCGGGACCCTTCAGTCCGCAGGCCGACTCTCTGTCCACTGAGCCAAACCGGCCAGGGCCTCACTTAGCACTTTTTGATCCGTAATGCTTTCTTCATGCTTTGGTACTTGCGATTTATTTAGGATTGGTCTGGGGAGAAGATGGGGACGTAAGGGCCAGAGACCCGAACTCTCTTGGTGGATTAAGTCTCCTTGTTCAACATCATTTTCATGACGGTCGAGGTCCTTTTTTGTTCACTGCGAAGCCCCTGTGCCTAAAACGGGGCCTGGCACGAAGAGGGCCCTCGATAAACGCTTGTTGAATAAATGTATTGGACATCAGGCCAAAGATTTTCCTCGCAGGAGGAATCCGAGAATGATACAAGGAGGCGGGGACAGGCGGTGATTGATGGGAGCTGCAGAATTTTGCAGTGACACATTGCTTCATACACGCTCCGGGCAGGTAATGCGGGAGGGGCTGGGAAGCGAGAACCCTGAATGGGGTGGGGCCGCTGGGTGGAGACTCGTGCAAAACAATAGCGAGGCCTCAGATTGGACTGGATATGGGAGAATAATCATAATTAGATATCTTGGGCCAGGCGTGGCTCAGTGCTTTACGAACATCATCTGTCTTAGTCTTCGCAGGTGCTGGCTACGCCAGTGTGATTCCCACTTGGCACCTTGGGAAACCGCGGGGCACAGGGGAGTTAAGTGACTCATCCAGGGGCACACAGCTGGCACCTGAACCCAGGCAGACCGACTTCAAGCTTTGCCTGCCTGGAACAGCAATGAGGTCAGGCATCTCTGCCCACAGCGAGGAGCTGGCACTCAGAGCTTTGGGGTTCCTCGAAAGGATGGCAGTAGAGCCCTGGCCGGTGTGGCTCAGTGGATAGAGCATCAGCCTGCGGACTGAAGGGTCCCGGGTTCGGTTCCCATCAAGGGCACATGCCCGGGTTGCGGGCTCGATCCCCAGTAGGGGGCGTGCAGGAGGCAGCTGATCCATGATTCTCTCTCATCATTGATGTTTCTGTCTCTCCCTCTCCCTTCCATTTTGAAATCAATAAAAATATATTAAAAAAATAAAAAAGGATGGTAGTAGAAAAAAAAGGAAATTGTTGGTTTGCGAGGAGTGAGGCTGAGTGGTTAGTACCAGGTTGGGACTATTTTCCACTTGATAAAGATCTGGGAGACTTTTTTGGGGGGGGTAGGTAGGGTATGCTTTTCAACTTAAATTATGGTTGTTATGTATTTGAAACTAGTCAGAATTTTATTTATTTTACTTTTTGTAATATATTTTTATTGATTTCAGAGAGGAAGGGAGAGGGAGAGAGAGATAGAAATATGCATGATGAGAGAGAATCATGCATGGATCGGCTGCCTCCTGCACGCCCCTCACTGAGGATCGAGCCCGCAACCCGGGCATGCGCCCTTGATGGGAATCGAACCCGGGACCCTTCAGTCCGCAGGCTGACGCTCTATCCACTGAGCTAGGGCGGGATGTGCGCATCAACTTAAATGCTGGTTGTCATGTATTTGAAACTGGTGGGGATTTTGAAACTCGATGTGTCGCTGTTGTCCTTGAGGCCAACAGAAGGAGTTTTCCACGCGTGTGAGCCGGACCCTCCGTCTCCAGGGCGAGGGTCCAGGCTGTTCCAGACCCAACCGCTACCCTTTGACCGACAGCGTGAGATTTGCCAGTTGCTGAGTTGGTCCCGTCCGCGTGCAGCCTGCAGTCTCCCTGGGAGACAGACATTAAACTAATAATTACCCAAATACTCTTTAATTACAGTGGTTACACATGCTTCAAAGGAAGGGGTGCAGAGGGCATGGGAGCTGACAGGCAGGGAGGCCGGGAAGGGAGGCGGTCCCGAAGCCAGAGCCTTTAAACAGCCCGTGAAGGGTGGGTGGGGAGGCCTTCACCAGGGTGTGGCAGCCCCTGGACCTTGACATAGACCCTTGCTACTCTCTGTGGTCCCTGCACCAGCAGCATCACCATTTCCTGGGCGCTTGTTGGAAATGCAGACGCTCAGGCTGTTCAGCGACTTGCTGAATCTGCTTTTTTTAAAATCCTCACCCGAGGATATTTTTCCATTGATTTCTAGAGAGAGTGGAAGAGAAAGGGAAAGACAGAGAGAAACATTGATGTGAGAGAAACACATCGATGGGTTGCCTCCTGCACGCGGCCCCAACCAGGGCCGGGGCCGGGGAGGAGCCTGCAACCGAGGGACGTGCCCTTGACCGGAACCGGCACGCGGCCCCAACCAGGGCCGGGGCCGGGGAGGAGCTTGAAACCCAGGTACGTGCCCTTGACCGGAACCGGGGACCCTTCGGTCCGCAGGCCGACGCTCTATCCACTGAGCCAAACCGGCCAGGGCTGGGTCTGCATTTGAACAAGATTCCAGTGCCGGGTGAAGTCTGAGAAACGCTGATGGAATCGAGGTACTGAATTGAGGTTCTGGGCTTTGCTGGGACGGAGTTGGGTGGCCTCGGGCAGGTCACTTCTCTGGGAAATGAGGGGATCAGAGCAGCTCACAAGTCCCCCCCGGCTTCTCTGGTGCCGCCTGCAAGTGTATTGAGGTCCCGGGTTTACACAGCACCCACCTCTGAGCTGCCTCTGGTGGGGGCCCGGCAGTCCCGTCCGCGCTCTGGTCTGACTTCGGGAAGCAATGAAGAGGCTAGAGCAGTGGTTCCCAGCGTGGGGCCCACGCCCTACAGGGGGGCAATTTGATGTTTAAGGGGGGCAATTCGAGAATGAGTTATTCACAGTGAATTTTTTGCATTTCTTCTGGTTCCAGGGGCCTCCTATACAGTCTATAAATATATATTGTGTCATATTTATGCATTTCAGTTCTCTA